GGGGAATATGGGTTTTCATTTCCTTTCGTTTTCAGTTTGTATTTTTATGTTTCTGTTGAAATATAACCATTATTGCACAGACTGTACGCTAATTACAAGTGAACAGTGGAGATTTAGATTTCCCTGTTGTTCACTTTTTTCTTGCCTCATTGTATAACATTTTATATATTATTGTTTTTTTGCATTTTTGGTTTGCTATTTAAGACTTTCGAGGACCTAGTTTCCCACAATAGAAGATTTTATTGCCCCACCTCCAGGATCATTGAGCTTTTTACAGCTTTTGACTTGGTCTGAAACGACGTCAGAGTCTGTTATCATGCATGCAGGAGATGTGTTTTATGATGTTTCGTCGATTATCATCGTCTTTTTTGTCCCATTGGAGATATCCCAAATAGCTGAGATTGGCCCTGACAGACAGATAACAGAGTTGAAACAAGTTGCCTGAAAAATCATGTCCACTGTGACGTAGGGCTTTTCTCGGTACATCTTGAAAAGATTTGATCTATGCATTGACTGTGAAGTTGAAGTGTCTGTGGTACAGCAGTTAGGCTGTTACTCAGGACACTTGTGCTCGATTCCCGTGCGGGGAGAATTTTTATCGAGTACATGATGTCTGTATATCTCGGTCTTACTGCTGGGACATTGCATGCCTCCCAAACCTGGTTGGAGCTGACATGCAGGGTCAACGTCTGCCTCCTGAACGGTCTAAAATTTGTTTATGGGGACGAAAGAACACCTACAATGAAAGCACACACATACACAGACACACACATACACAGACACACACATACACTGACACACACATACACTGACACACACATACACAGACACACACATACTCTTTCACACACATAAATATAACAACTTTAAAGTATTATTTAAATTTCTTCCGCACAGATGCTTTATCTTAACCGTCAAGAACATTACATTACCTATTACTTCTAAAATAATATCCATGTATTATGTAATCTAATAAATGACACTCTCATTAATTTGTAAATCGCCACCTTGTCTACTCCGCAGATGCCCCATTGTTGCCGTCGGCGCCATGACTATGACGTAAGCCGTTTCCATGGAGATGACATCATCAGCGCCGCTAGTCAATGGCGCGGCGTCTAGTGCAGCAGTGTCGTCGCGCACGGGACGACCGCCGGTCGGGGCAGCTGCTCGGGGCGGCCGGAAGGCGCGCATGAAAAACCGCGGGAGTCAGACCTGCAGTTCTGACGACGACGATCTCCACTCGGACGATAACCTCCGGCCTTACGAGGAGGTCAAGGTCGCCCACCACGACAAGAAGTTAGCGGGGTTAGGTGAGTTCTTGGTTTGGTTGGATCATATTAATGTTTTTAGGTTGGCTTTTTGGTTGAAGTAAAGAGAAACACATCGGCACAATTAATTACTGTTGTTTAGTGATTAGTCCTATTGGAGACGGAAGTTAAATTGGGAGTTGTCGCCACCTAAATTAGCTAACAGAGTTGATGGGGGGCTTGAAACTCATCACTTACTTTGCCGTATATAACCTCTTTTGGTTGGCATTAGTTCTATCTGTCCACTTTGCGTGCTCTTGTGAAGTCCTCCGGGAATTTGAATGTCAAATCTGGTGGTATCACGCTTTTGACTCCTGTGTGATTGACTCTGGTTCGAACTCTCAAATATGGATGTCAGTGTGCGGAGTGCTCAACACTGCAACCATTATTTTGACTCCGACTTGAGAGGGAGAGAGAGAGAGAGAGAGAGAGAGAGAGAGAGAGAGAGAGAGAGAGAGAG